AATTTGCAGAGTCATTCTACTAAATTGACAGATAATTCCTATGTCGGCAACACCTGGTTATCCTAGGTAATGGGGCATTGGTCATTATTCAGTATTGCAGTAAATTCCTACAACTATGACACATCACTGGACCTAGTTATAACACTCCACGAAGTCTATTGGCTCTTTTAGTAGTGTCCCTTGAAGTTCTAAACTCTTCTAATTATTGTTGAATGTGTGAGAATGCATTGGCTCTTTGTAGAGATCCTCTAATATTAATTATCGTATCTTTGTGCAAAAATGTCCTGTTACCTAGAGCCCATGCCAAAAGTGTTCCATCCTTGAAGCCTAGTAACTTTCTGAGTAGTTGACGGATTTGCTCTGTTCTACTTCTCAGACCTAGTCGAAGGTCCCTTCTCATATATGCTGTAAACAGCATTTGGTCCGATAAACGGCAATGATGTTTACGGTACTATTATGACACCTCCAATTCTGTGGCATTATAGTCACAGGACATAACTAAGATCGATATGTATGACAACATGTAGGGCCAGTAGCAGGACAGGAGGAGGGTGTTGGAGACTAGAGATTCTGATTCTAAGTAGTGTTATCCTACTTAGGATGATTCCTATGTATCAGATCCCAGTACTTCTAACAGCTGTGAATGCTTGTAGGAAACTAAGTGTATATGGGTGGAGAGTTCCATAGTTGGTATAGCATCCACTCAGATATGACAGTTCGCTACTGACATGTCTATAATGTGAAGAGTTTCTCCTCCTACAGTTGCATTAGAGATATAGTGGCTAAAACACTTCTGTTGGGTAGATGTTAGAAAACTATGGAGTGGTCTAGTTCACTACAGAGGATCTTTGGTCTGACCCCTAGAGGTTGACTAGACAGTACACAGGAGTTGGGTGCTCACAAATGCAGAGTAGTGATAGGAAGAAACTGGTAGTATATGAAGTCTACTTAAGTATATGCAAGTTCTCCTCTACTCTAGCAATCAGCTACCTCTCGAGATCAGAACTTAATTGAGAAAAGCTGTGATTTAACAATATTAAGTTTTACCATTTTGTTTCTTCAACTCTATTGCTGAGATGTTAAAATTTTATTATATTTATTCCTAGAATTCATTACGGTGTGGTTATAACCTTAGGATCCATCTTTCCAGAGGGAGCCCCAGTTACAACTGCCCCACACAACTCCTTGTAAGATATCATGTCACAGTCAGCCTTAAAGTAAAAATCCATCTCACAGTAAGAGATGAAGCAATAAAGAAAAGTAAGGATCAGAATATAATTGATCGGTAGCCCATATCACGGCTTGTGCAACAAGTAATAAAATCAAACGCTGTGGTTGTAATGGTCACAGCCTTGTTCAGATAATTCTTGCCGTTACCTGTACAAGTACAGTGGTAAAAGTATCATAATTTAATTCCAATTAAGGAAAGGTACATTCCAGATCCCGTTCCCTCCCCACAGGGGACCTCTTGGACACAACACTTGACGGGCTACCGGAAGCGATAGGATGGCAAGGTTGAAGTTATTTGTATTTCTCCTCTTTACTCTATTTTTTCCATCTCCCTACTTCAGCCGCACAAGCCTCTTGGTGGCACAAAATGGCTCCCGGTTCTTCGTTTGAGCGCCTTCCGTGGTACAAGTCCCAGTGCCGTATCAAGGCGCAATGCCCCTTATGTCTCAGTAGTATGCTGTGACAACTTACAAGGGCCGGCTTCAAAAATGATTTCTCTTGACTAAAAAAGTGACACAGCCTCGGGATACCAAATCCTTCTATTACATTACTGTATTTCTAGGCTGATCCGGAGATACCCATAACTTAAACCTCTCCATTCTGTACTACCGGTAGTACACGAGTGGTGGTCGGTCTCTCACAAAGCTTGATGGGAATCAATTCCTCCTTTTTATCCAAACCAGTACAACCATACAGTAGACTATCTTAGCTCTAAGATTTCCGGTTTCCTTTTCAGTGTGGAGCCCGTAAATAGGAAATTTAGCAAAGAGGTTTCTCCTGGCACCGCCATTATCAAACCCTTCCCGCTAATCCCCTCCCAGCGGATGCAATCTATCTACCCCTCCGCTCAGGCTCTGCTGACTCTCCAAGATATTATATAGCCCAGAGACCCCAAATAAATGATAAAAGACATCAGGAACATTGCCTTGAGGCAAATGTGTGCCGTGGTGCGCGCGGATCGCAGGATGCTGGTACTGGTAACGGAGCTCGCCACCTGGGGACCTTCCGAAACAGTAGGTGTTACTGTACCTTTCTAACCTCCTGCGTATAATTTACTCTGACATTTTGAAGGAATACGACGGACTTTTGATATCAGAAGCTGAGAATCTGCTCTTACAAGCACTACCCTACAAGAAGGAGAACACCCACTATTCTAGACCCCTTCCCAATACTGATGTTTTACCCCCTAAACTCGCAGGAGTAAGTTCTAAATTTCTCCAAATCTAATGCTTTGCTCGAGCATCTTCTGCTCATTATTAATACTTGTATGTAACTATTGGGCCATTAGGAGCACCCTCCTTTTCTAAACTTCCCCTGATGTTTTTAAAACATTACCTCGCTAAATTACTTTCCCTAACACACACGGAACACCGGTGGCGCAGATACTCAGGCGTTCCGGTTCTCCCCATACTTCGCACCAGAGCTCTTGAAGCAGAGTACTGTACGGTGTAGTTTCAAAGAGTGGCCCATCCAGTCTTGAAAACAACTTCTCACAACACCTATTACCTCCGCCCCCACTTCTACCCCCCAGTGATGAACTCAACACTCAAGTCCATCGTTACCACCACTGACCACCTTACTTTTAGCCCTACGAGCCCTGGACGGGCGCGGGGAGTATAACTAGTGAGAGGGTATAAACTGAACTTGAAGACTCCATCGTCCCCCCAACCTCCCCTTCTATCTAACTTCGGAGGACGGGGGTTTATATATTGACAAAGAAGAGAGAAACAGACCGCTTGCGAGACTCCCGAAATTCTCAGCTCTTCAGTTGGCTCTATTCGACAATCAGCTTGGATGAGGGAGGCTGCGTGCGGCCGACCATCTATCTAGCAATGCGGGAATCACTCTGGCACTTCCAGAGCACGCAATATCCACCCACCATATATCTCGACAATACTCCGTTCTTTATAAATTAACCGACTACGATACAGACCCCGCTACCGCTCCCTACTCCCAATTCAACTACCTCTTGGCACTAAAAAACACTGAACGGCAGTCAAACTACAATAGGAAGGTTTGGTAATTGATAGGTACTGTAACGAGGAATAAAAACCCAGTTCAATGAAATCACAAAGTGAACGCGCTTCCCCGTTAGTCCCGCGACCCCCCGGTTCGCCGAGCGAGCTCTGGTGCGCTTCAATACTATCGACAGTTGAATGATGAGAATCGATGGATTGGATAGCGGTTTCTTCTTTTTTTCTCCCTTCCTTCTCCCCCTCGAAAAACTCGAGAACAGGACATTACTTACAGCTTGTTGGATTCCCCAGCTAGTGTAGAAAGGTACGTCTGGCAGGGGAAAATAGCCCAGTCCAGGATAGGAAGTCTAGGATGTGAAGAAGAAAAGGAAAGAAAAGAAAAAACCCTTATATCATAGCATAATCACAGATCTAGTCCATTACCAAAGTCTCGAATAGTCATGATCCTCCTATTCCTCGATAAGCACCCTCTTTACACGCAGCAAATAAACAAACGCCTTATATTTTTCCATTATTATGACACTCCCACGACACCAACCATCACTCGTCTTACTGCCCCGAATGATCCCTCAACATCCTCCCACCCTACCCACTCCCGCCCCTCCACAGTCACCCTTTCATATGTTGTGCCACCCTTAAAATTTAATAACGGACTTCATCACAAACGTAAGGTACCCATCCCTCAAGAGTTCAGGATGGAACACAGTATATGATCAGTCGATCAGGCTCTAGCTCAGTAATACAAGTACATGAGATGGACACTAAATAATGGGTAAAAATAAAAATTTGCTTGACAGTTCTGATGCCAAACGGGTTCACCAAGGCTTACTTCCTTCCGAACGCCTATGATACCATCACACCCCTCACATGGAGTGTTAGCACCATAGCAGAGGCCCGTCTCTCGGCAGTTAGACCGCAAGAACAGGTCGAAAAACGCCCCCATTGCCCGGGAACTTATCATAATCCCGGACGAAACTACGATAACATCACGACAGATGTCCCTCTTTCATGAACCCTCCAAGTTCCTCGGTGAAGACGTAATTCTATTACCTGGGGGCTATGGATTACCGGTAACCAGCTCGTCCTCTCCGTCTGCCCGAAACGCCGAGCAACAGTTCGATTCGGTATCATATGTGGGGTACCATGCTATCTATCATACGGCACTGGGGACGCCTCGAGACGCCGAGGGAGAGAGGTGGAGACTATTTACTTTACTAGACCTTGCTCCCAGATGCAGTACCTCTAGATGAATGTCTACCACGCCGTCGACCAAACTAGGACGCAGAATGGAGGCTTTTTTTTTTACGCCCAAACTTTTTAGTTAACCCAAGAGGATAAACTTCCTAGGAGACCGTTGCTCGGTAGGTCCTTCCCCGAATCCGCAATCCTGTGATTATAGGTTAAGTTACAACGTGACAGCAAGATATACTAATACAAACACTAAATAGAAGTTGGGGGCCCTCGAGATAAGGCCCTTTGACTAGTCATGCACTAAGTACTTGGGTATTTGAGCAAGAGTAGTTATTTGTTGCCTAGGTTTGTAATGAATTAGGGGAAACTTCAATGCTTTTCCAAGAAAACTCGAGAGGTTTCATGAGTGGCTGAAGTCACTTATCATGAACAGGAGCTTTCTCTCGGAGGAAGCCAATCCAGTTCATTCGGGATATGATGCACCTTGTATCATACAAGTAATCCAAACTGTATCTCGCCAAAAAGTAAAGGAAAAGGCAATTAAATTTTTATCAAGGAAAGTGCCAGCCGCACCCAATACACCCACCAAAAATAAGCAATCTATCACGCGCGCGGGCACGTAAGTCCCGCTGCAACAATAGCATCTAAAAACGACAATATTTGCCCCTGTCTAAAATACTGATGCGTAGCCCCACCAAACCAAGTCATCCCGGCCTCCTCAAACGCATTTGAATCCCAAGTGTGGCAAGAGGCATAACACAGCTTTGCTCCCATCCACAAAATTTCCCTCGGAGTCGTAGAAGAATTCAACACCTCCTTCAACTTGTCGGTCGGAGTACCAAATTTCGCGTCGTCATCACCATCGTCATCACCTAGATCAATGAAGCGGTTCAACAAATCTGGAGGTAGCTCGATGCTGGCCACCTTTTGCGCCTGATGAGCGGATGCCCGCCAGTACCAGCCCCAGAAAATAGCCAACACCCGTTCGGGCACGGATTGCCCGCCAGGATGGACTATAACTTCGAGGGGTTGGCGCCATACCCCTTTCCGAGTGATGATATCGGAAAATATGCATGCAGCGCCTTCCACACCAATAATCCCGGCGCTCCGTGGGGGGAAATCTCGCATCTCCAGTGGTGCAATCCCCCGTTTGCTCATCTCAGTGGCCAAGGCGAGGGCTGTCCATATGTACGGCTGTATATTGTCATAGGCTCTAGACCCACCCTTGTAACGGTATTCACCGACTACCGCCTCGTACAGCCCGACATCAAGTGGTTCGGAGAGAACCCTCTGGTCCTGTCCTGGCGCAGAACCGGCCCTTATATCCAGGGAACCGTTGTTGCTTTTGTCCGGATGAGACAAGTCCTCTCGATTCGCAGAATACCCAATTGCGCAAGTCATCGGGTTTGGTAAACGGCGATCCGCCGAATTTAGGTACAAGGCTGTGGGAACCACTATGGACCTAGCTATCCCGGCGATAGCTGCGTTCCCAAGCATGGCAAGTGAGACCCACCAATCAGAAGACCGTAGCCCCAAGTATAGCCCAGTATACGCCAACACCATCGCGACAACAGCTACCGTAGACATCCATCCTCTTACTTTGGCCACACCCCCCCTCATTCCGGGGCGAGCATCGGTTGAAATTGCAATCTTCTTGGGGCAAAAACTGAGTTCCGTTCCCTCAGGAATCCTATCCGAGAAAAAGCCCGAGGCAATAGCCGACAATTGAGACATATCAAGAATTGTCTCCTCCGACGCTTCGTCCACAAGCCACGCAGTGAGCCAAGAGCCAGCGCAGGAAACAAAGAGCCCTGCGCCAACAAGTCCTACATCTCTGGGATCACGGCCCCTGAACCAGGCTGCAAGAATTATCCCAACATTTCCCATCGAGCAGAGCACAATAATTGCGTACCTCACAATTTCCAGTTTTCCATCGTCGAGGTTGACACTAGCCGTTAAGCCCAAAGAAACGTCAGTGAATCTAGCATACACTGCTGCTGACGCCGTACATGTTGCTATGTCTCCAGAGTTTTTTTCCGCAACAACCTTCTTCTCGCATTGACCCGAAAGCTCTGGCAAGTTACGCGATTCTGCCGCATGTCCCCTTGCAACCCACCGTGCGCAGGTGCCCGTGGCTTTAAAGGACATCATCATCTCCCATGAGCACCTTCTATCGTAATATAAAGAGGCAGAGTTGGCCGCCGCATAGCCAATCCCCATGAGAGTCCCAACCCAACCCGTAAAGGTCTTTGCAACCTCCTCTGGCGATCCTTCCGTTCTCCCGTGTACCCAAAACATAGCAAGATCCTCGTCGGTTGGTTGAATAGTCTGTTCCAGGTTCATATTCCGCAGCTCCAACCCAACCTCACCCCCAGAGACAGAAGTCACATCGGCGAGAACTTCAGCCCTCGTCTCAAATTGTCGACCTATCATTCGCTTAAGCACTGGTGTGCCGTTCAGTCGGATCAAAGTAGTTACGGCGGTGACAAGCCCTATGGGCGCGGAAGCGAAGAGTAAGTGGTGCGATGGCCGGCACATATTTTTAAAGTATGCCTTTACGTGCTTCTCGCCAACCAGGACCAGTAGTGGGGCGATGTTCGCCACGAGTGTGGCCCAAACGTCGGAGGAAGAGGATATCGGGGAATCACCTGAAGCTGCTTCAGAGTTACAGGCGAAGGCGAGAACGAGCAGGATCTCAAGTCGCGCTCTCGCAGGGAGGACATAATTTTGGGGAAGCATCTGTTCCAAGCGATAAGTAGAGCTTAACTACTCGTACACGCTAGGTTAGCTTGTCTCCTGGGAATGTGAACTCAACACCGATAAAGTCATCGGGGGGGGGCAACCTTTCTCACCTATACTACACTACTTACTCCAGACACAGGTTGAGGGCTCTTCTGCGGCTTTGTCGGAGGTTGAAGAGAAACCGTCGCTGCCCGTGGCTCGTCCCAAGTTCCGGCAGAGATATTGTGTTGGTCCTTCAGCGTTCCCTTATCCCCCCGGCTGTGCCTTATAGGAGGCTCAGACGATTGACAATTCATCGCTGCTCCGCACCTCCTCAAGGCAGCAAGAATCTAAGAGCACAAGCTTTGCCCAGACCTTAGGGCGCTTTCACACCCCTGTCGATCGTTTTAAGACTAAACAAGCCACGAATCAGATTTCGTGATTAGTGATCAACAGTTTCTCTCGAGATTGGTTGCTCTCTTCTGAAGCGGGATTTGGTTCGGGGTTTCAGGGAAATATCAGATTGCCGCTTCAAGGCTAGGCGATTTGATAAGTTGGTATATAAACAATCCCGCATATATTGGGAAACACAGAGTAGCATCCCATCATAAATGGCTTACAGTAGGGTTATCAGGAGAGCAATATGGCGGTGGCATACGAGTGAGGAAAATAGTGGGACATAGCGGATTACACACGAGAGTAGGGAATTTTCACACATTAACACCCAACCTAGAGTTTGGCATTTGGGTGAAAACGATTTCATACGCTTGTCTTGTTGCTTCCACTTTGTTCCTCCCTCTCTCCTTATTTTTTAGAATACAGATATCATTTCTATTATACCAGTTATTTCTAGAGATAATTGAAGCCACCTATCCAATATCCGAGCTTTGAGCATTTTCAAGCGGTTGGTGATTGTTCCGTTGCCCCACGACTCTTAATTTCGCTTAGTAATACATGTTATGTTTTGTCCGAATGAGGTTACCCGCCCGTTGATTTGGTTTTTTACAGGCAAGGTTATAACTTATATCCGCAGTTTTAACAACAAATAACTGTGTGGCGACATTGTGTTTCACCCAATCCAACTTTAGACCCCTAAAGCTTGCACAAAAAGCTATTTTCGAGATCCCTTTCGGTCTCCAGCTTATCGTCTATCGAAAGAAAAAAGGAGAGGAAATAAGAAATAAACCTTGTTGTGGAGGCGCCTTAGGCCTAATTTAAGGTTTGCCCCCACCGTATTGTATTGGTGCCGCTCAACAGCCTTCACCCCTCACAACGCACAGGTAGCGGGTAGCAGTTCGCTGTGATATGACCAACAAGCCCCAAATTTGGCCAACTTCAACCAAGCTCAACAGCCATAGCCCCTAAGCTCAAAAGCTTCCGAGAAAGTGCCATATCATACCGGTACCGGTATTCACTTTACGATTGTCTGAGTCCCAGAGGGGTTTGAAAGGGGTTTCAACTTTCCACGAGATAGGGAATTCATGGTTTTATTATTTTTATACAAGCACCGCCAAACTGATACGGCCCAAACTACGAGTAACTATAATTATCATTATCTTGGAAACACGGTATCGTACCGGTGATAGGTTTGACAACGTTTGTTCCATATAAACTCAACCAACCCAGCCTAAAGAGGAGGGCAGTTGAACGCTTAATAAGCATTAGTGAATTAATGGCAACACAAGCGTCGACTCTCAATTTCTGGGGCCATGCGGGAAGGATCCACAATGCCTTTTCACTCCCTCCTCACTCCTTCACCAACCCAACCGTCCCACAAATGCAGCTCTTTACAGCTGCCCGGCTGCAAAGGGACTGCGATACCAATGGCTAAAGACTTGATTATTCACTTCAAGTCACCGGCGCCAAGCCCCCCTCCAATCCATTCCTGTGATGGGCCTCCACGAGTAAAATAGCTGGGCCAACCTAGCGGGGTTCGACCAACTTGCATTCCAATTAGTGCAAGTACCGGTAGCCTTAATAAGGGATTCTTACGCATACAATACCGGCACATACATACTCAGATAGCCGGATTGGGATCGCGTCTTTCCTATTTATTCGGTGGTGACGCACAAAAAAGGCGCGACTTCAATCCGGCAACATGAGCAGGTAGATAATACCGGTACTGTACTGTACAGTATATACACACATTCGAGCACTGTTACCGGTACTTGTACGATACTCTACGACCGTGCATACCATGTTCGAGCCGGACCTTTCCAACATGATTCTCGTTGCACGGGTTGTCACCTGTCACGCACGAGCAGCGAGATCACCCGCCCCCTTCGAGGCACTACTCGGTACGCTAACCTGGAGCAAATCCTCAACCACTCGCCAACCACTATTGTAGACTACCGGTATCATACCGGCACAGCCTGCGGTAGCAAAAAAAAACAAAAGGGAAAAGAATGGGAGAATGGGAGACATGATTCTGAAGTTCTGATTGGAGCTTTGGGTGGCTCGAGCCAATCGGTTTTCCGTGCCTCTAACCTCAGTTTTTCCGATTTTTTTTTCTTTTTACCGCAGGCTCTGCCGGTATTATCACACCCAGCCGGCACCCCCAGGGAAATGGGGTATCGGTAATGAAAGACCACCATCACCACCCCCGCATATCGAGCCAAAGATTACTTCACCAAAGGTCTAGCTTTCCCCCCCCATATTTCGTTCCTTTCCCATTCTGCAGGGAATCTTCGTTTCGAGGCGGCAATCCCGAAAGTGGTTATCCGTGCGCAAATAGCCCCCCCCATGAGGAGGAGACGAGGGGAATTGAACCCTACTTTTTTTTTTTTTTTTTCTTCTTCTTCTTCCTCTTCCTCTTCCTCTTCCTTATCCCCCTTTTCCCCTTTCTACCGCTCAGTCACCTCTCTCTCTCTCTCTCTCATCGTACTCGGCAGCTAGACGCGATGCTAAGGAGGGGTAGGGGGAGGAGGAGGGAGAAACAAAGCTACTTGTACACACAAGCACTCGGGTGAGCTAAGGATGAGACACGAAGATCAAACCCAAAAATAAATATAAAATACTCTACCAGGTATCATACCATAAAAACCCGCAATTGACTATTTTTCCTTTAAAAATAATAAAAGATCGAGTTTATAAATTATTGTCTTGGCACTCACCTTTCCTCATTCCCTTCGCTCACAAAAACAATGACAACTGACGACGAAGCTTAGGGCATCCCCACGCCTGCTCTGCTCTGCTCTACCTTGTTGCTACTCGGGAGAAGGGGGGAAATTCCTGTTGTACAATACCTTCTCAACACAAACAGCGTTTAGAACCTTCGTTTGAAAAAAAAATACACACATACATATATTTATATACATATATATACTCCTTCCGTCTACGAGGATGGCTGAGGCAATGCCCGAGCGCCGTGGAAGGTCGAATCCTGCGAACACTACTCCTTGGGCGGTAATTATGAATCCCTTCAAGATGAGACCCCTCTTTTGCCCTGTGACTAATGTTCGGTGATCTGCCCGTATGGGATCTTGGGACATTTTTCGAGAAACAGTGTAATGAATGCAAGGTAAATATTTCGACGGGAGATCTCTCGCTGAATTTCGAGGCATTCCATAAAAGCTCAAGCTAACTCCCGGAAAAAAAAAACTTAGCGTCGTAAAGGAAAGGTACGCAGCTATCCCACCTCTCTGAGACACCTATGCTGACACTAAAGCTATTGACAACGATACACAGTGCTCCGGTGAATCCCCCTGTCAATTCTGCGAAAAAAGCAATCGTCGGTGCATATACGAAGCTCGACCAACCCGAATCCCCCTCACCCGCCAGTAACCCTCCCCTCTCCTTGGTGCCTTCCCAAACAGCTCCTTCTAACTACCGATGTAGAAACCTCGACAAACTCCAACTCCGCTGTGCAAAGCTCGAGCATCTCCTCCGCACCATAGACCCTAATGTGGATGTCGAACGCTCCCTATCCACAGACCGGTATACGGCCACGGGCTCGACCACAACAGAGCACAACAACGCAATGCGTGTGATGGAGTTTTACTATCAGGACATGCGCAGGTGCGATGACGAGGAGGAGGAGGCGCCGCCAGAGAGTGCGTGTGGCTTTGAGTGGCGGGAGAGCGAGGGTGATGAGCTCCCTGGCAGGGCCGGCAGCGGGGGAGGGGATGCGACGGTGGTGGGGCTGTCGGATGGGATGGCTTCACTGAATGTTGATGCTAGGGATGTTGGATATCTTGGTGGGTTATCTAATAGAAGCCGCCCCGCCCCCGTCCAATTGGATGAATTCATGTAGGATGGCTTTGGCTAAGGGGTGTGTTGTCTTGGCTTGATTTTAGGTACGTCTTCCGGAGCAGCATTACTACGGACAATTCAACGCCTCGTCACTCGATATTACCAGGGCTCGCTATTACCAGAGTCTATTCCTACCTCCCCACCTCCGAGCGTCGATATTGCCCATAGGCTCAATTCTTCGTTTGCTCGGCAGTCTCTTGTGGATTCATATTTTTACTTGTACCATCCCTCCTACCCCCTGATACATGAAAAGACGTTCCGGTCAAGATGTGCTGTGTTTTCCGAGGTTCTGAGCGCTCCCCAATGGAAGCTTCTGTACTATATGGTTCTCACTATTGGCGCTTTTTGCTCATATGCGGGCTCTCCAGATGAGGATCAAGGTCTAGATTTACAGATCTGGAATACGGTTCGGAAAGAGCTCTCAACGATCGGTATTCTTGAATCGGGGACTCTAGAGCAGATACAAACCCTGGCACTGATGGTCTGTAGTAAGGCTTTTGGCCGGATCATTGTCATCGGCTAACCTCTGCAGGGCCAATTCCTTCAAAAGCGAGATCGGCCCAACACTGGATATAATGTGATGGGGGTGGCGATTCGCATGGCTCTTGGCTTAGGGCTACATCGAGATTTCACAGAGAAAACCCCACTGAGTGCTAATACCCTTTCAAGGGAAATGCGTAGACGGATATGGTGGGTGATTTATTGTTTTGATGTCGGGTCCTCAATCACTTTCGGCCGACCTACAATCATGAGTGATCGCGTGGAGACGCGAGTTCCGCTAAACATTAATGAAGGGGTATGATATCTTCATTTTGCCCCCCCGTCGGCAAACCCCATACTGACTTGCTATTCACCAGGACCTAGAAGCTCCGGAATCACCACTTCCCCGGCCTATAACCTCATGCACGACATACTCCGCCATCATCGCACACTGTGAATTCGTAAAGCTCGCAAACCAAATCCACAGTAGCTTCTTCACATTCCGCGGGCTCCGGCCATCCCGCGACCTCATCCGCAGCCTTGACGAGCGCATGTTAGCATGGCAGAAATCCCTGCCGGCCTACTTCAATGCGGATGCAGATGCGCCAGCCTGGTTCGCCGAGCCAAAAGCAGTGATAGTGTGGAAAGGACTGAACTTCAGGATGCTAATGCATAAGTGCTTTCTCCCACTCCTCAAGAGCCCGGCCGTGAGGGCCGAAGCTATAGAAGGTATTGCGCCCACCAAGAGCGGAGCAGGAGTTTGTCTCTTTCTAGCTATCCAGACGATCCACTCTGTTCATGCGTTCATCTGCTCCCAGACGCTGCGTCGGGGCGCGGCCTGGTACTGCACATATTTTGTCTTTCAAGCCGCGCTCGTGCTCGTCATTGCCATCCTGACTGTGGACGAGACGCCCCCACCCGCGATATGGACGGGGAATATATTAATGGCGGAGGAGTGTCTGGCGGCCACGAGTCGGTGTCTCGGGGATGGTGCAAGTAGGTATCTTGAAGTTTTACAAAGAGTCATGAGCATATGGGGTAGGAGAACGAGGCCGTCGGCGCCCTCATCGCCCTCTGGCACCGGTAGTTTTAGTGTTTACGCTATTGGAGAAGCATCGTCGAGTGTTTCGCTATTGGCGGATTGTGCCAATGGACTGGGTTTCGGCGAACTGGGGCCCATGCCTGTGGGTGCTGCAGAGGTTCCGGAAGACTACGGACTATCTTCCTGGATGCCGACAGCACAAGACTTTCTTGACGGTTCGATGGGGGGTTTTGTTATGGGTAGTACTAATGCCACGGGATGAGGGACCCCTCTCGCCTGCGCTCTTTTTTTTTCTTCTTTTTTTTTTTTCCCATTCTTTTCGCCCCGGTGTTACTTTCTGGAGAAATTTTAGTTTTTGTCGATTGTTGTATCATAGATAGATATCTGTGCCGACGGTGGTCATGGCTAACAGCAGATGGAGTTGCTTCAGCCTATTAGGGTATTCAGAATGAATAAGACTCTGCTATTTCTCTAGAAATAGAAGCCCCAGCACCTGCATAGGACAGGCCAGTCGGTGTAAGCCGCATAATGAGAACTTTGAATGGTGATCTTCGCCACCAGATTAACTGGCGCGTGAGCGAAACGGCCAGGAAGGGCCTTACGAGTAAGTAGGTCGCGCCAATAAGCAATGCCCTATGATACCAAACAAGACATGCCCAACCACTGAATTATCCAACCCTACGAGTGACGTACTATGACCCAACTGGGCTTCTCAAGAATCTATTGGCTCCGAATAAAGTTTTATAATAATCCCCCGTCTACCAATAGCGCAGGAGAAGCTACCCATACCCATAGTATATGTACGGTACAAGTTAGGCTTGGCCATCTAAAATGTGGTGATTCCGCCTGTACCCATTCTTTAGCACCCACGGAACGGCCTGGGGGGAAGGGGGGCAGAGAATGGGGAGAAGGGGCCAAACTTACCGTCAACTTTGATATCCGTGCCAGTAATGAACGAACCAGCTTCGCTGCAGAGTAAAACAACAGCCCCATTAAGCTCGTCTTTCCCGCCCATGCGTCCCAATGGCGTTCTGGAATACCATTGAGCCTTGTGTCCGTCCAATCCTTTCCCCTCGTTCAATACCGTGTCCATGTAGCCCGGGGAGATGGTGTTCACGCGGATCCTATATTGCCCCCACTCGGCGGCGAGGCTTTTCGCCGTCATTATCACGCCTGCCTTTGATACATTGTAGCTGACCTGCGGCTGCGGGAAGTTTGTCGTATGGCCTGATATTGAGGCAATTAGGACTATGGATCCACCTGTGCCCCGTTCTATCATTTTTCTATTTTGCCCAGCCCGGGTTAGCTGGTGGGGGTGTAAGAAAGAAAAAATAAGAAAAACCAACTTATTCCGTTCTCTCGGGAAGTGGTTTCAATCATGTCGAGTATTTCGTCTGGACCACGAGTTGGGCTGGTATCTTTGTTTCTTTTTTCTTACTTTTTTTTTGATTTCGAAGGGAAAAAAATCTCCCACCAGAGAAACTGATTCCAACCAGCTCGTGGACCACACGTACTCTGCACAAGCGGGATAGACTTCATACTTTCCAACAGCCTGGGCACAAAGGAACGAGCCGGTGAGATTAACCTCCAATATCCTATTCCATTGCTCCACCGTCATGTCCTCCGCATGAACACACCCAACGATTCCCGCGAACGCAAGTAGGATATCCACACTGCCCAATACCTCCGCCACCACGTTTACAGCTGCGTTGACAAGTGCCGCATCCGTAACATTAACGAGCCGGAACATCACATTGGCTTCCGGGAATGCAGACTTCAGCTGGTCGACGGCCTGGAGACCCGCATCGTGGTTGATGTCAAAGAGGGCGAGGCCAGAAACATCGTGTTCTAGGAGTGCTCGCGCAGCCTCAAACCCTAGACCTCCCGCTCCACCAGTAACTATTCCTTGTCAACGGATGGCTTTCAGGAGGTGAAAAAAAAAAAAAACACCCGTCACACATATACCCACCAATAGCAACCTTCCCAGTGAGCGAGAATCTGGCAACTGCAGGATTGTCCTTGCGTTGTGGAATCGGCGGAGCTGTCGGCGTGGCCACCTTGATCTGAGGTACTAACGTCGACATATTGTTTGAGAAGGATGTTGGGAGTGAGAAGTGGAGTTAGTTAGGTAGGCGCATACTCGAGTAGAACCCGTGCGCGGGGGGGGGGACTTTTCGGAAATATAAGAGTTGGTGCAAGTTAAAATGAATAAAAGTTTCAAGGTGGACCACCGCATGGTGGGGATAAAATTATCATTTGAGCGAGAAGGTGCTGGGAGGTACGATAGCAGATTGTTGGTGCCACGAATTCCCCGCTTTTACAGTACTAAGTTAGGTACGGTAGGTACTCGTACACTTCCCCCCCATTCCTGCGCCGATGTTGGAATGTGAAGTCAGTTTGTGTGCTCTCTTGCTCGACGCCAACGGGTTCTGGATCGCCAGCCTTGGATTGGCGCCTGAAAGTGCCGTACCCACAGCAGCTGCCATACTCGAGTAGAGTACTCGCATCATGTTGTTGTTGCTTGTTCGTAGAGCCATAATTCCGCGGCTTCTCACGTTTTAAGCGGGGAATGGGGGAGTATGCGCACGTGGAGAGAGGCTCCTGCATGAAAAGATAAAGTTAGAGTTGAGCATCTAAGACACAGGCACAAGGAGCAAAGCATACCGGTATGATAGATTGCAAAACATTAGGGTGCAGTATCGAGAACCCGCACATAATGCATCACGAAGTATCAGTTCTCATCTTTGCAGCAATTCATAAACCATCTTTTAGGTACCGGTACTTGTACGAGCTGTTTCGACCGCTTACAAATACCGGCCTATCATAGTCATCCGGTGGCGGAAAAACTATTCACCGGTATGATACCAATCATGAGTGGAGGAAGAATATCGTACAGGTATCGTAGACTACCGGTGTCTATTCCAAGTTAAATCCCCCCGAATCCAAGTAAGGCAGGGACTAACCGAGAAGGAGCCCTGTACTAGACTAGTAGGAGCTGTAGAGAAAGGGAAGAAACATGAGATGATCAACGAAAAATACCAATCAGGGTTCGAGAGGGCCCTTTTATATAGAACAGTTATCCCCTAAGTTACAGTGGATTCAGCAATGAACCGTAGCGTTCCCCTACATCACCCAGCAAACAAACACAGCAAACAAACACAGGGCCACGCAATCTAGCAAGTATGATGGATAGATCCGGCCGCGGGAAGACTCGAAGGTAAAAACTGATATTACCAACGTACTAAGAAAGTATACATGCATGGCCGGAGCACCACGAACAGAAGGTCGGAAACTGATTATGTCACCGGTATTATAATAATTCAAGTTTGCGTGACGAGTGATCCCCGACCCCGACACCACAGCCCATCACTCGCCCCCACCACCCACCAATCAAGAATAATCACTCGCGGACCACCCACGCACACATTGCCGGACTCCCCGTTGACCGACACAAACACGCAAACAATATGGTAAGCAGAAAAAGTGGACCCCCTCCCCCCTATCCTTCTCCCCCCTTGCCTTCACCCCAATTTGGCATTCAATCCATTTTCTGCCCGTTGCCGCGAAAGTACCCAACTTTCCAGCCGCCCAGCCATCCCAATTCATTTTAGATTTGCCGTATGTAGATTTAGATTCGATTCGATTACTGTACGAGTACAGTTGTAGCAGCCCAACCCCTGAAACCCTTTTGTCGGAGCCACCCACCACGGAGGACGGGATACAGCTGCGTGCACAGGTGATTTCACCATCACCCGAAAGACCGGGCAGATCATTATTGTCTAGATACAGTGGAAGTGCGGTGGAAAGGTGAGAGAAAAGGACAACTGATTGATTAACCGATTGATTGATTGACATGTTAGCTTTGGTTCGATCAGTCTCCCCGACTCTCCCGAGGTAGGGTTGGGATACGCAAGCACTTGTTCAAGCGGCATGTACTTGTACCATAACCGGCACTCTGCTGCGTTGATCCGATGCGTTGGGTGAGGTGATACTTGTGAGTTGAGTGTGGCTAGCTGGGACGGGGAGGTACAAGAGGGATAGGGGGTAAAGTTCAGCTTAGATGTTAGCATTAGCAAATGGCTGGGAGTGCTAGCACTGTATTGTACTGTATTGTATCATATCGATTTGTATGGGTAACCCTTGTTGGATGGGGGAGGGGTTGGTGCCGCTCTTAGCTTATGTCAGAGGTTACGCGAAAAAGGGGTGGGAATCAAAACAAACATTGGCGCGTTGGGAAAGAGCGGCGAGAGCAACGCGTGGGAAAGGAGAGCCATCGTGACAAGTATCCTTGTGATTGAGAATCGTGCAGAGAGAGATCAAGGTGATGGATTTCACAGAATACGCAATTGAACTGGACAGCATGTATTTCAGGACGAGAAAAAAAATTCAAGGCCTGAATGAATGAATTTTTTAACACTACAATCATCCGGATTAAAACTAAGCTTGTTTTTTTGTGCTTTTCTTGTATGAAATGAACATAGAAAAGTGAACTGGTAACCAAAAAACAAGACCTAGGGAAAACACAAAAAAAAAACAAGACAAATCTCGCCGATGACCGCCAACCCACCTTAAACTAATACATCGCACCTTTATCAAATTTTACACACATGAAAAAGTTTAACCGAGACAAAAGCTTTTACAACTTGTGCGCCAAGTGAACAATCTTGTAATCAACAGCCAATTCCTTTCCATGGTCAGAGATGACCAAGACGCGAACAGATCCGGCACCGTGACCGAAAGCCTCCTTCAGCTTGCCCCAGAGATGGCCCTGGTCGACAACCTTGAGACCCTGCTTGATCTCACCGGTCTCGGTCATGGCGACGAGCTTGCCATCGTCACGGATGTCGATGAGGCGGTACTGCTTGAAGACGGGACCCAGCAGGGAGTGGAGAACCACTGATGGAGAGGGATGGGAGACAACGCAAGGCTCCTCGTGAAGCTGCTTGGTGAAAAGGTCAACACCGAGGTATCTGTGCTGGCCGGTCTGAGCACTGGTGGTGATACGGATAATCTGGCAAGGACGGTGTTGGAGGATCACGAGATCACCAATGCGGATGTGGTGGCAAGGGATGGTAAAGGTGCTCTTCGATTGGGCATGAGCCGATGAGATGTGAGACGAAGAGGAATGGTGAATGTCGTGAGGCTTGTAGTGGCTGCTGGCACCACGTGCGACGTAGTCGACAGCATGGATGTCATCGTGGGCGGAGGTAGAGTAGGCGTCGTACTTGACCATTTTGAGTGATTTGAGAGAGTTGGCTGGCTTGGGAATGTGGATTTCTTTGTGGACGGAAGAGGTAGACTCAGAAGAGACACTGGGAGCGGGCTCGACGTGAATCGACTTGCTCACAACTGGAGTGTAGGAAGGTGTAGCGGTTTCGATACGCTCAACAACAGTCTCGACGACGGGTGCTGAGTGAGTGTGTGAGTTGGAGTGAGAAGAAGTGGACGCGTTATCGAATTCGAGTTCCGCGGTGGAGGTGTGATGAACTTTTTGTTGGTGGTCGGAGTGAGAGTGACCTTGAACGGAAGGGACGTAGATGGAGGGAGTGTGGTGGTGGGAGTGAGAATGGTGGGTTTCCTTGTGGTGGTGGAGGGAGGGGAGGTGCTCTTTAACACGGTGGAGTAGTGCGGCAGGGCTGTGCGAGTGGTGTGAATGATGGTCGTGACCGTGATGCGATGAGTGGCCTAGATGATGGTCGTGACCGTGATGCGATGAGTGACCTAGATGATGGGTGTGGTGACCGTGGTGAGACGAGTGACCGAGACCTAAGAGATGATGTTTGTGACCGTGACCGTGACCGTGGGCGTGATCGCGGGAAGAATTGGAGGAGGAACTGCTGCTGGAGGAGGAATCGTCGTCCTTATATACCTTTTCTTTAACGTAAACCTGAAGGGCCTGGGGATGGTCGTTGTGGTGATGGTGATGCTCTTCGATATGGGTATGCGGACGGTGGGGAACTAATTCGTGATGATGGGTCTCGCGGATGGTTTCAGTAACTACGTGTTCGTCTTCTTCGTCCTCGTGCGCCAAATGTACGTGATGCCCTTGAAGGTGCTGTTTGTGCTGGTGCTGGTGCTGTTGGTGCTGGTGCTGGTGCTGGTGCTGTTGACGCTCAATCTGGAACTGTTCCTCGCGATGATGATGGTGACCTTCCCCCTCGTGCTCGTGAGAAGAAAAGTGAGAGGGCTCGGCGTGGTGATGCTCGGTGTGTCTCTCTTCTATAACAGTCTCTTTTGTTATCCCCGGTGATGAGTACGTCGAAGGGAAGACACTGAAGGGGATCGGGACTCGAGCGTCAAAGTCCAGATTGTCAAGCTGAGTGATTCTCCGAAAGTTTTCTCGTCGTCCTTACACTAAGTGAATGGGCGACAAGAAAGGAGAATCCTTCTTGCTTATTTTGGGTATATAGAAAAAAAGGGGGGCGGAAAGAAAGCGTTGACTGAACACGTCTTTGCAGATTACCACAAGAGGGATTGAGAGGCTAGAGCGCGCTGTGGAGGTGCTTTGCAGGATGAGGGAGGAAGGGAGGGAGGAAGAGAAGCTTTGGTGATGAGTGAAGGGTAGAAGTAGCTGGGGGAGCCCGGGGGAAAGAGGGTCAATTTGAGTGGCCAGCTAATGTTTAGAGAGCAATTGGGTACGGAGAGTAGACAATGGGATAACTCTTACCACTTCTGCGAGGTCAAGAAAGGGCTCGGGAATTGCAACAGTTGTGATCGGAGGGGGTGTGGTTGGGAGCAAGAGATGTGGAGGGGTCAAATCCAGGAGAGGGGGGGTGAGTACGAGTACTCTTACTCGTATGGGGAGGGTTGCAGTACGTGGATGCGCAAAAGCTCGAGAGAAACAAAAAAAATAAAAATAAAAATATAAACTACTCGAGTAAATAAATAGAAATACCGGTGCCGGTACAGAATGATAATAAAAAGGTAAATAAATAAACGAAATAAAATAAAAAGTGAGAAATCAACCGCAGGATTCACAAGGCACGGGAAGCAGCTGGATGGCTGAAGGAGCGAGCGAAAGAGAGAGCGAAAGATCTCCTCCACCAAATCACTGCTGAAAAAGAAGAAAAACAAACACGCACAGGCCTCTGTTGGGGCATCGGCCAGCCACTCACGTGTGTCCACATTGACTTGAAAGATATCCCGGCCCACTCCCATTGCAGGAAGCCTCACCACCACTCTTTTCCTTTTCCACCTTCCTCAATCCCCTCCCTTTCTATTCCTTCCTTCCTTCCTTCCTTCCTTCACCACCCCCCTCCAATTTTGCACTCACAATCAATCACACCATTTCCTGACCTCTCCAGCCATTCAATTTTCATAATTTAGCGGCGAGCCGGGGTCGTGGTGGATTTCAATTCGCTTCTTCATCGCCAAGATTGGAGGGGGGGGGGTCTCAAATCCCGCTGTTGCAAATAATTGATGTTTTACCGCTACCAAATGGGTACCCATACACCCAAACTTGTGCAACATGGGTCCAGAAAATAGCCCTTCTTTATGGTGTTCATGTCGACTGCATATCGTGTATGTAATGTGGAGACACAGATAGCCCCATGTCTATCTCCTTGCTTATGCCGAAACTGCTCGTACTTTCAGCCCTCTCTGATACAGTACCGTACTAGTACAAACACTGCTCAGGAGGAAGCCACAATTGATTGCAATTGGCTTGCGATTGATCAATTCTTGATGTTTCCAATGCTCCAAAAGTTCCAATATCTTTTCATTCTCTGGAGGAGAACCAATTTTCGGTTCAAATCGGTTAAAAAAGAGTGATAGCTCGTGAGACTTTGCTTCGAAATGCTGTGTCATTAATGTCCTTTTCAGGAGCTGGTCGCCATCTTAACCCTTTACTACAGTGAGAGAGGAGCGCGAGCACAGGTGCGTACGAGTAGATAATCGGCTGGGAAGATTTTGGGAGCTCTTGGCGAGCTTACACCGAATCAATTGACTTCATTTCAAGCGCGATTGCAGTTTCAAGAAGGTTCTCGCTTCCCAAATGCGGTGCGGCGGGGGTGGGAAAAAAAGAAACGAAGGACAAAAGAGAGAACGGAGTTGATGCAGCAGGGATAAGTTATTTAGAAGTCCGTGTTCGAGACACCCGGGAGATTGTGATGGGCTGAGGAGCGAATGTTGGCGGACAATCGATCGATCTTGGAAGGTGGAGCGCGACAGCCGGGGGTCAATCCGACACACCGACTGCGAAGTGTTTACAGATGCATGAGATGTACCACCTTCGGGCGTAAGGTAGCATACATTACCACGCGTACTCCACCATCGGCACGGGGAAGCCGTGAAGATCGAGAGCGGTTGGATGTGCTTGACAAGGCCTGTCCATGGGGAATAAAAGATCAAGGAAGGAATCGTATCCTTCAGCTCGCCAAAGTACCATATCATCGCTAGCATCGTGGGAATTCTTCGGATTCAGCATGCCATTTCTTGGATTCCTGTTGGACAACGTCCAAACTCCCCTTCGTTGCCCTGCCAATTGCCTATTTCCGGTGGCTCCCGTATTGGCAATGGGATAAAGAGAAAGAGACAAAGGGAATGGAATTGATCTGTGAAAGGCGTTTCCGGAGTGCGATCAGGCTCTCCGGATCCGCCCCCTCGGTCAAGTCAGTCGTTGGATGAGAGGGAAACATTGCGTGCCGATCGCATGCGCCCTCGCATTTGGTGGTTGTTTATTCACAGCTGAGGACCCTACTTAAAATCCGCGCTTATTGTTCAGGAAGTGAGTGGAAGAAATGGTTCTGTTGTTGGCTGGAAAAATTCAAGCAATTCTCATCTCAGTTCCTTTCTTCTTTTCATTCCCTCGCTTCATGCGTTCCGATATTGTCGTGCCCTCCGTTATCGCTTTCGTTTTGGGTCTGGTATCCAAATCATTTGACGCGACTCCTAGCGCATTAATTTACCTAGAGTCGCCTGCGGCCTCCCTTCTTTCAAGCCATGGAAGAGTGGCCTCTTCGAACTTGCCCGCACTCGGCGCTACTGCCTGGGCCTAGGGCAATTGGTTGAAACCCCACAGCACTGCTGGGTCACGAATTAGCCTCCTGCTCTCCTCTGAATGACAGTACCTAATCAAATAGTTCAATGCATACTTTACAGTCGCACCTCGCTGTCCCGGATGGCCAAAATCCACAGAATCTGTCCGGGACAGCGGATTATCCGGGACAACGGGGTACGTTCTGGTGCAAAAAAATTCAGAGCTCAGAGAATTTCGTCCGGGACAGCGGGGTGCGACTGTATATATATTTCATATTAAATATTTCCCATTCGAGCCTTTCTTTTTCAACTCCCAACTCCCGAGCGGTCCTGGGGATTTCCTCGTCGTGAAGAGGGAGATCCAAAATTTCCCGCGTGGAACGCGACGCGTACAGGGATCTTGTGTGCTGTGCCATCTCGAAATTTCGGAAGCAAATAGCGCCCTCTCCTTCAGGAGGGTGATTGTCAGCTGGGAGCTTAAGGATTATGGAAGAAGGAAAAGCCGTCAAACTGACTCCATGGGCGAATTGTGATCGATGCGAGGGCCGCAGCTGGGAGGTCGAAACCGGTGGAGGGGGAAAGTGGTTACTTTTCCGGCGCTCCCCGTATAGAGTTGGTTAGGTATTTTGCCGACACAAGGGAAGGAATGGAATGCCAGCGTCGACGTTTTAGAATGGAGCTTACTTCGGATATCTCGAAGGTATTGGAAGCCTTCCACCGTATTGATCCGTTCTCCGACTTGATCGCAATGTTTCCGCCCGCCTACCGTTTCATGCCGTATTGGATATTGACGTGCGACATCCAGTTAATACCCCGTTTCTAAACAATCAAAAATGAAAGAAATTCACAAGTGGTTCCTGGGTAGACTTGTTCTAAATAAGGTGGAAATCAAAGTGGTCCGATTATGCTTTCCTTGATTACAAACCTCAAACATTAGAAAAGGGGTTTTTTCTTTCTAATATCGTATGATACCGTGCTGCTCAGAACCTGGCGAACCAGTTTCCTTCGTTCACACTCAGCCAGCGTCGCCCGTCCGCATGAATACCCTTCAACTCAGTACCTATCATAACGCCAGGTAGTCCGCGGAAAGAAAAAAGCTCTAACCCACAACACAGCTTCTGCGGGGTAGAATGGCGGCGCAACTGGTGAGCATCGCACATTCCGTAATTTCTTCAACCCCTCTCGTGATCATGTCATATCACTCGGGAAACTGCCCCACCAAGAACTCACATTGGGCAATTCATGTGCCTGACCGAT